ATATATATGTATATGTATATGTATGTATGTATGTATGTATGTATGTATGTATGTATGTATGTATGTATGTATGTATGTATATACATATATATATATATATATACATCTGGTGTGTGTATGTGCATGAGCGTATATATATGTATATATATAAGTGCATGATATGCTGTACATGGGCATACACATATTTCTGGTGTGTGTGTATGTGCATGGACATATGTATATGTATACATCTGATGTGTGTGTAAGTGCATGCATATCGGTACACATTTAGGATTGTGTGAGTATGCATGGTCGTATATATACATTTGGCGTGTATGTTTATGCATGCACATACGTATGCATTTAGTGTGTGTGTAGTATATATATGGTGTGTGCATATGTCAGTCGACATGTACCTACCGAGACAGGAGTATTCATAGCACACCTATACACATTTCCTACCTGACAAATACACACAACCAACTCATGTATGACTTATCTACCTACAATACCTACCCACCCACCCACACAACTTATATACACCTACAATACCCACCCACCCACCCACATACCCTCAGGTGCCCTCCCTTTGAAGCTCCCATTCTGTTCTCCTATGCAAAGGAGAAGACCTTCACGTCCAAGGCTGTGCGTATCAGTGTCAATGGCGCCGAGAGTGGCGACTGGTCCAAGAAGTTCAATCTGGATAAAATAGGCACGCCGCAGGTGCTGCATGCCAGAGGTGTGTGTGCATGTGTTGTATGTGTGTGTTGTATGTGTGTGTGTTGTATGTGTGTGTGTTGTATGTGTGTGTGTTGTATGTGCATGTGTTGTATGTGCATCTTGTATGTGTGTGTGTTGTATGTGTGTGTTGTATGTGCATGTGTTGTATGTGTGTGTGTGTGTGTATGTGTGTTGTATGTGCATGTGTTGTATGTGTGTGTGTTGTATGTGCACGTGTTGTATGGGTGTGTCTTGTATGTGCATGTGTTGTATGTGCATGTGTTGTATGTGCATGTGCGTGTCTATGAGTATTTATCTTGTGTTGTATGCCAGAGATTCTTGTGCATGTGTTGTATGTGTGTGTCTATGAATACTCGGTCGTGGATTCCGAGGTAGTTGATGTCTACATATACATGTGTGCACCTCTGTATATATATTTATATTATGTGTATACTTAGTATATGTGTACATATTGACCCTGATGTAGTTACTGTGTACATATACATGTGTATACTTAGTATATGTGTACATGTTTGCCCAGATGTAGTTGCTGTGTACATATACATGTGTATCTTGACACGTATTTATATTGCACACATTTGTGGACAGCGTGATGATTTCTGGTAATTTTGTTTAGGGTTTTTAGAGTTTGTCGTATTTTGTTTATACCACTTCGTATGTTTTAGGGTTTTTAAGGTTTGGGCTAGTCGGAAACTCGTTTCCGTACATATGTGCGAATTTCCGAACGAATAACATTTCCGATCTAAACCCTAAACCCCTAAAAACATATTAACATGTATTATATACTTGAATCTATTTACACAAACCGAACTGTCGTACAAATGCTAGTCTGTAACAAACGTAAGTATTCCTGAAACCTGAAGCTGAAAAACTTTAACCCCTGCCATGTCCAGGGCGGTCTATGCTGCGCGAGGCTGGGCCACAAGTGGGCAAAGGTCCCGCTATTTCCGAAGAAGAGGTATTGCGGGACCATCAGTTTGGTCTGTCTGTGGAGTTCGGTCCAATCCAGTTGACGAAGGTAAGACATGTGTCTACAAATGTATAGGCACTGTAGCATACTACTATGTTCATGTCTTGTTGTCAACAACTCATGTATGCTAACTTCTCTCATCGACTTGGCCTTTCGGATTGTCATTCACTATATATTGTTAATATGTACGGTAGCTA